GGAGATTGCATGGCGGTGTGCTTGATTTTATACACCTGTTAGCAACTGGTGTGGCTATTTTTTACTAATTTGTATATGGGTGGCACAGGGTAGTGCTGCTGCCCATCAAGTTAATTACTGGAGGGTAACAGCTCTGGCCTAACCAGGCCTAACCAGCCAGCACACTGTCCTTCTGACCCTATGTCACACACACATTGACACACTGTCCAACCATCATGTTCATACAGTCTACAAGCACACAAGACCACCATTTTACTGAGGTAACAGTCCTAGTAGTTACCAGAGTTACCCTACACTAAAAGACTCAACTGATGCCCAGGACTCTCCCCTCAGGGAATGAATGAGTAGACAGACACCCAAAAGACAGTAGAATGATGTAAGACAGAGAAATGCTTTAGCAGACCACATGGACACAGTGGAGGAAATACACAGTTACTAATGTGTGATGAGAAACCTTGTCTGAAACCTGAAGACCTGTGTTACCTGACACACACACACACACACACACACACACACACACACACACACACACACATACACACACACACACAGACAGACAGACAGACAGACAGACAGACAGACAGACAGACAGACAGACAGACAGACAGACAGACAGACAGACAGACAGACAGACAGACAGACAGACAGACAGACAGACAGACAGACAGACAGAGAGACAGAGAAAGACAGATAGGGGGTCGACAGCTATGGAATAGACACACAAAATGCTGAGGACATAAGAAGCTAGAGAGATACAGAGCTAGATCCTGAAGGTGAAGGACTGAGAGGAAGAGGAGGATTAAAGAGATGACATCAATGGAGAGGAGAAGAGGATGGAGATGGGAAGGAGGAGGCGGTGGTAGCAGAAGTCGTAGTCTGCTGCAGGCACAGGGAGAGTAGCCAGGGCCTTGTGTGTGTGTGTGTGTGTGTGTGTGTGTGTGTGTGTGTGTGTGTGTGTGTGTGTGTGTGTATGTGTGTCCGACTGTGTTGATGTATGAGATGTGATTAATGAGATGTGTGTGAGAGAGAGTATAAGGTGTGTGTGAGAGAGAGAGAGCAGCAGGCACAGGGAGAGTAGCTAACCAGTTGTAGGTCGTTTGACTCCTCCCCTACCCTCAGCTGGCCCCGCCTCCTCCCTCCCAGGGCGACGCCCACGCATCAGTCTGGCCCGCCTCTCCACCCTGCTCGCCAGCAGACCGCTGATGTGCTGAGCCACTGCAACAAACAGACCCACGCACACCCTCCCACAACCATAAAACCCCACAAACAACAACCAAAAGGGGTAGTTTTTTAATCCATAAGGGTTGCAATTACGGAGTGGGAAAAACCAATTTTCCTTTTAGTGGTCAGGGGCAGCCCCGAGTTTTTACAATTTTTAACCCTATGCCACCTTGGAGAAAAAAACCCAAACGTGCCAAAAAGCGGAAACACAACGCCCAGCCCACGCAAAACAAAAAAAAGGTTAGTTGTAGCAAAAAGGATTTGAAATAAAACTAGAGAGGGGATAAAGCACGGTTTTTAGAAAAGGGGACCACACAACATACAGAAAAAGTATTACACTCCGGGGGAGAAGTGAGGGGGGTGAGGGGCGTTGGCTGGTGAGGGCTTTTACAATTCTAAAGGTGGTAGAGGGGAGGCGGGGGCCCTTGTGGGGGAAAGAAACACGACTCAAAAAAAACGTATGGCCTCACCTTTGGCACGGGGGGGTTTGCATAATGAAAGGAAGGAAAGGGGGCCCCCCCAAAAATTTTTGGCCAATAAAGTGGAAGAAAATCCCCAAAGAGATGCTGTTTCTTTTAGGGTTTTTGAACATGATTGCACTCCAAGAACGCTTTTCCACTGCTCAGAGTCAATGGCGGCGAGCTTTACACCACTCCAGCCGACCTGGCATTGCGCATGGTGTTTCATAGGATGAGTGGGTGTGGCCATGGAAACCCTTTTCTAAGCTCCCAAAAAACGTATTGTGTGACGTTGTTTCCCCTGGAGATGGAAACTTTTGTATGAGGGTTGCAACTGAGGAAGAGATTTTTACAAGCCCCCGGGGTTTCAGCACTTGCGGTCCTTACTGTGAGTTTGTGGGGCCTACCATTCGCGGCTGACCGTTTTTGCTCCTAGACGTTTCCCCCTTCACAAAAACACATTTTCAGTTGACTGGGGGGAGCTCTAGCAGGGCAAAATTTAACGAATTTGTTGGAAAGGGGGCATCCCTTTACGGTTTTCCACTTGGAAATCACGAGCTCTTGGTAAAGGCCATTTATTGCCAAAAGTTGTTTTATGGAGATTGAGGGGTTTTATTTTATAAAACCCGTTTGAACTGGGGTGGCATTTTTTAAATTGTATTGGGTGGCACAGGGTGTTGTGCTGCCCCTCAAGTTAATCTGGAGGGGGAACAGCTCTGGCCTAACCAGGGCCCAACCAGCCCGCACCTGTCCTTCTGACCCTAGTCACACACCAGAAAACTGTCCAACCCTCTGTTTTAACAGTCTACAAGCACACAAGACCCCCATTTTACTGAGGGGAAAAAGTCCTATAGACCAGGTTACCCCCACAATAAAAAGACCCAAATGATGCCCAGGACTTCCCCTCAGGGGAATGAATAGTAGACAGACCCCAAAAGACAGTGAATGATGTGACAAGAAAAAGTTTAGCAGACCCCATGGGCACGGGAGGAAATACACAGTTTAAGGGGGTATGAGGAAAAAACCTTGGGCTGGAAAAACCCGAAGACCGGGGACCGACACAACCACACACACAACCCCCACCACACAACACACACCACCAAACCAAAACACACACAACAACAACACAAAAACACAACAAAACAACAAAAAAGACAGGGAAGGCAGACAACAACAGACAACCAAAAAGACACAACAGAAGAAGGGGCGACAGAAAAAGAACAAGAAAAACAGTAGGGGGGGCAAGCTAGGGTAGGACCCCAAAAAAAGGGGAAAGAATAAAAAAGGGGAAGGATTTGGGGGGTGAAGGAGGGGGGGGGGGATAAAGGTACTCTGGAAGGAAAATGGAAGGGAAAAGGGGGGTGGTGGGTTAAGGGTTTTTTGGGGGGGGGGGAAAAAGGGGTTTTTCCCCTTTTTTTGGGGGGGGGTTTTGGGGGGGAGGGGGTTTTTATTGCGACTTTTTGGGGTGGGGGGGAGGGGAGGGGGGAAAGGGGTTTTTAGAGGAGAAAGGGGGGGAGGGAGGGGAAAAACCCGGGGAGGGAAGGGAATAACCCTTTTTTTGTTTTGACTTCCCCCCCCCCCTAAAGGGCCCCCCCCCTCCTCCCCCCCAGGGCGACGCCCCCCCCTTTGTTTTCCCCCCCTCTCCCTGGCGCCCCCCCCCCTTTTTGGGCCCCCCCGGTTTTAAAAAAAAAAAAAAAAAAAAAAAAAAAAAAAATTTTAAAAAAACCTAAAAAAGCAAAGGCCTTTTCCCCCCCCCCACCGGGGCCAAAACCTCCCCCCAACCTCACCCCTTTTTTTCCTTTTTCCGCCCCCCAAATTTGTGTAAAAACTCACAAAAGACTCCAAACAAAAAACCCCTGGGAATGCACAAATAAAAACCATGATTTTTCGACAGTACAAAGAAGGCAACAAGGGGCAGAAAAAAAGGGCCATACAAAACAAAGACGTGTCCAACGGGGTCATCATGAAAACCACATAATCATAAAAACGGCAAGGAAGAAAAAGGGCAGAAAACAACGAAGCAAACGACAGCCCCAACCCCGGACAACAGGAACCCAGAAAGGAAAGGAAGGAAGAGGGGGCTGAGGAAACGGGGGAGAAAAAGGGAAAAAAAAGGGAAACAAAAAGAACGAAGAAGAAAACAAAAAAAGAGGGGAGGTTTGGAAACCTTTGCGAGAAGGAGAGGGAAGAGGGGAAGGGAAACATTTGAAGGCTTTGGAGCCAAAAGGGGGGAAAAAAAAAGGGGGTAAAACCCCAAAAAAAAGAGGGTAAAAAAGAAGAGAGAAGGACCGGAAAAGGGGGGAAGGAAAATTTTTTTAAAAGGGGGGTTTAAAATTTTTGGAGGGGAATTTAAACTGGGGAGGGGGGTGAAAGGAAAAAATTAAACAAAAAGGGAAAGAACCAGAAATCAACAACCAATGGCTTCAAAAACAGAGCGGAGGAGGAAGAGGGGGAGAACAAAAGAAAAAAAAGGGGAAGGGAGGGGAAAAGGGGGGGGAAAAAATTTTTGGTAGGGTGGGCTGGGGCAAGGGGGGGGAAAAAAAAAAAGGGCCCAAGGGAAAATACCCAAAAAGGGAAAACAAAAACCGGAAAAAGGGAAGGGAATATTTTTAAAAACAAAAATACCCAAGGGGTGGCAAACAAAAGGGGGGGAAGGGGGGGGGAAAAGGGGGGAAAGGGGCCCTTTGGGGAACAAAGCAAGAAAAAAAAGGAAAATTGGCCATTATTTCCCCCAAAAAATTGCATGGAAATGTCAAACCGGGGGCTGGGGGGGGGGTTTTCAAAAAAAAAAAGGGCAAGGATGATGGGGGGAAAAAAAGGGGGGGACGCCAAAAACAGGTTTTCCGGCCAAAGGGATAACCCCGAGCCCGACCCCAAAGAAGGGAAAAAGGGAAAGGGGAGAGAGGGATCCCAAAAAAGGGGGAAACCGGTAGACTGGGGGGGAAAACCCTAAAAATTTTCTTATCGTAAATCGTCTCCCCCTTTTCCTACCTTTGTTGTTAGGGGCCAAAAGGGGTTTTAGAAGATCCCTCCAAATAATGGAGGGGAGGTTTGGGGGGGGAAGAACCAGACCCAAGCCATGGTAGCCCCTTTTTGACACGGCGGGGGTTCTTGTAAAAATAGGGGGAGGTTTTGACTAAAGGTTGATTCAGGTAAATTCCTTAAAACTTTAAAGAAAAAATTTTTCGCTTTGTTTTAATTTTTCTTTTTCCACCGTAGTGTTTATCAGTGTGTGCGGCTGTTGGGGAGGTGAAAAGCTGACCGTTTGGTTGTGGGGTCCTGGGGGAGAAGAGTGGGGGTAGATTTTATACAAAAGACCTACTGCTCCCAACCCCGCCTCACGGGGGAAGGAAAGGGAAAATGGGAGGGGGGGAAAGGGGGGAGGGGAGGGAGGGAGGGAGGGAGGGGAGGGAGGAGGGAGGGAGGGAGGGAGGGAGAGAGAGAGGAGAGGGAGGATGGGAGGGAGGGAGGGAGGGAGGGAGGGAGGGAGGGGAGGGAGGGGAGGGAGGGAGGTGGAAGGGAGGGAGGGAGGGAGGGAGGGAGGGAGGGAGGGAGGGAGGGAGGGAGGGAGGGTGGGAGAAAGAGAGCAAATACGGAGAGGAGGGGGGAATTATTAAAAGTCACATTTGTTTCTTTGACGTGCAGAATTACAAAACTGAAGGTAAACTGTTAGCTTAATAGACATAAATGTATAAAATAACAGAGTGAAAAAGGAGAGACGTGAGAAGCAACACAGTGAAGGTAGATACAAAGAGAGACATGAAAAAGCAGATACAAGGAGAGGACGACGAGAGGGATAATAAAAGGGTCTGTGCAGACCTCCAGGGCGATGTTCAGTGGGCCAGTCTTGGCGCCAAAAAGAGAGAGAAAGACAGAGGGCGAGAGGGGGAAAAAAGAGGGAAGATGAGGGGGGTTTGAAATTATTATTATTTTGATGCACAAATCAGAAAGTGAAGATAAATGTAAGCCTAAAAGCACATAATGCACACATGGCTGAGTCCAAAACGGCACCCTATTCCCTTTTAGTGCACTACTTTTGACCAAGGCCCATGAGGGCTCTGGTCAAAAGTAGTGCACTATATACAGTTGAGTCGGAAGTTTACATACACTTAGGTTGGAGTCATTAAAACTCATTTTTCAACCACTCCACAAATTACTTGTTAACAAACTATAGTTTTGGCAAGTCGGTTAGGACATCTACTTTGTGCATGACACAAGTCATTTTTCCAACAATTGTTTACAGACAGATTATTTCACTTATAATTCACTGTATCACAATTCCAGTGGGTCAGAAGTTTGCATACACTAAGTTGACTGTGCCTTTAAACAGCTTGGAAAATTCCAGAAAAGTATGTCATGGCTTTAGATGCTTCTGATAGGCTAATTGACATCATGTGAGTCAATTGGAGGTGTACCTGTGGATGTATTTCAAGGCCTACCTTCAAACTCAGTGTCTCTTTGCTTGAAATCATGGGAAAATCAAAAGAAATCAGCCAAGACCTCAGAAAAAAATGTGTAGACCTCCACAAGTCTGGTTCATCCTTGGGAGCAATTTCCAAACGCCTGAAGGTACCACGTTCATCTGTACAAACAATAGTACGCAAGTATAAACACCATGGGACCACGCAGCCGTCATACCGCTCAGGAAGGAGACACGTTCTCTCTCCTAGAGATGAACGTATTTTGGTGTGAAACGTGCAAATCAATCCCAGAACAACAGCAAAGAACCTTGTGAAGATGCTGGAGGAAACAGGTACAAAAGTATCTATATCCATAGTAAAACAAGTCCTATATCGACATAACCTGAAAGGCCGCTCAGCAAGGAAGAAGCCACTGCTCCAAAACCGCCATAAAAAGCCAGACTACGGTTTGCAACTGCACATAGGGACAAAGATTGTACTTTTTGGAGAAATGTCCTCTGGTCTGATGAAACAAAAATAGGACTGTTTGGCCATAATGACCATCGTTATGTTTGGAGGGAAAAGGGGTTGGCTTGCAAGCCGAAGAACACCATCCCAACCGTGAAGCACGGGGGTGGCAGCATCATTCTGTGGGGGTGCTTTGCTGCAGGAGGGACTGGTGCACTTCACAAAATAGATGGCATCATGAGGAAGGAAAATTATGTGGATATATTGAAGCAACATCTCAAGACATCAGTCAGAAAGTTAAAGCTTGGTCGCAAATGGGTCTCCCAAATGGACAAGGACCCCGAGCATACTTCCAAGGTTGTGGCAAAATGGCTTAAGGACAACAAAGTCAAGGTATTGGAGTGGCCATCACAAAGCACTGACCTCAATCCTATAGAAAATTTGTGGGCAGAACTGAAAAAGCGTGTGCGAGCAAGGAGGCCTACAAACCTGACTAAACCAGCTCTGTCAGGAGGAATGGGCCAAAATTCACCCAACTCTTGTGGAAGGCTACCCGAAACGTTTGACCCAAGTTAATCAATTTAAAGGCAATGCTACCAAATACGAATTGAGTGTATGTAAACTTCTGACCCACTGGGAATGTGATGAAAGTAATAAAAGCTAAAATAAATCATTCTCTCTACTATTATTCTGACATTTCACATTCTTAAAATAAAGTGGTGATCCTAACTGACCTAAGACTGACCTTTTACTAGGATTAAATGTCAGGAATTGTGAAAAACTGAGTTTAAATGTAATTGGCTAAGGTGTATGTAAACTTCCGACTTCAACTGTAGATAACAGGGTGCCATTTGGGATGTAGACATGACAGAGGGATATCAGGGAGTCTGCAGACCTCCAGGGCGACAGTGAGCGGGTCAGTCTTGGCTCGGCGGTCTCCCATGTAGGTCTGGATTAGTTTAAAGATCTCCACCGCCTCCCTCTTCACTGCACGGTCTGACGTCACGATCATGGGCTTCCTGATTGGCTCACTGCTCCACGCCAGCATGTTGGCTATGGACACCTTACGCCGGAACAGACCCTGGGAGAGGGAGGGAGAGGAGAAGAGGGGCGAGGGGGAGAGGTAAGGGGAGGGGAAGAGGGAGGAGGAGTGATAGGTGAATAGTTTGCTTTAGTTATACTAGAGTTTACATACATGTAGGGCTGGGCGATATGGACAAAATATCATATCACAATATTTGTATGATGGTATTTGATGTTTTTTAATAATAAATGTTCTAAATATGCTTTCTGAGTAGTTCATGACCCTAGGGTCAATCCAACTCCAAACAAAAATATTTTTCAGCATTTTCATCAATTTTTGCATTTCCTTCACTTATATTATGATTACCACACTGTGCCAAGCAGCATGATTTGGGCAAAACAATCTAGTCTTAGTTAATTGGTGAAATTAGTTGGAATTATGGAAATATAATGATTATTCTAATTCTATAGTTGGAATAGTGGGCAGGACCTAGAATACATTGTTGTTTGACATGACAATGAATGAATAAGCCAGTGAGGAATCATTGACAGGGTAGAAACCAAAGTGTTGGTCAGTGTGTCCAGGTGACCCTAATTAGATGTTACATTACATGTTTTCTTACTTCATGTAGCTAGCCTCGGCCTACATCAGCACTGGTACCAGGCAGTATTAGCTAACTAGCTATGTTGGCTCTGACTCTTAGTACATTTAGCAAGCTAGCCAGCTAACTAGCGATTAGCATAGTTGCATATCACATTTAACAAACTAAACATTGAAATATCGTTATAGAAGGTAAAGTAAAAACTCAAACCGGTCTGTGCATCAATACCGGTATATAGTAAAATACGGTATACCAACCAGACCTACATAAATGTGTTTGTGTGAGACAGTGAGTACTGGGTTTTACGTGAGAGTGTTTGTCTGTTCCTGTGTATGTTAAATTATAAAGTAGAATGATTGTGTGTGTATGTCATGTATCAGTGTGTGTTTAGTTGTAAAGATGAGTGTGTGTGTGTGTGTTTGTACCTGTGTGTGTTTGTTGAAGTGTTTGGAGGCCCAGTTCTCGATGTCAGTCTCCGAGGACGGCTTCCGCAGGGTGAATTCTGGGAAAACTCCACAGCTTGCGCTGGGCATCATGTTCCGAGCATTCCGACTCGCCTCGAACTGAGCACAGGCTCCAAGATCCTCCGACTGAGAGAGAGAGAAAGAGAGAGAAATACTTTGTCAAAACAGACTCCTTATTCAAACTCCTCCTTACCCTAGTACAAACATAATTAATAGTGAGCATGGACTACAAAGTGTAAATAAGATAATATTGGTCATGAAGTCAGTCTCGTCCAAAACAGAGTTTAGTGAGACTTGTGGTCGTGACTGAATCACAATGACAACGAAGGTTGGGTTTGTTTCAATCCTGCCCACATCTGGCAGCACACAAGTAATCATAAATTAGAATCAAATAAAATGAAATACAATTTTATTTGTCACATGCTTCTTAAACAACAGGTTTAGACTAACAGTGAAATGCTTACTTTAAAAAAATAGAAATAGCAACCAGAGGAATTAATACACAGTGAATAATGAATAACAATAATGAGTAAAAATAACATGGCTATATACAGGGAGTACCAGTACCAAGTCAATGTGCAGGGGTACGAGGTAATTGAGGTAGCGACAGTGCCTTCAGTAAGTATTTATACCCCGCAACTTATTCCACGTTTTGTTGTGTTACAGCCTGAATTCAAAATGGATTAAATTGATTTTTTTTTTCTTAACCCGCCTACACACAATACCCCATAATGACCAAGTGAAAACAAGGTTTTATACATTTTTGCAAATGGATTGAAAATTAAATACATAAATATACATTTACATAAGTATTCACACCCCTGAGTCAATACTTTGTAGAAGCACCTTTGGCAGCGATTACAGTCTTTCTGGGTAAGCCTTTAAGAGCTTTCCACACCTGGATTGTGCAACATTTGCTCATTATTCTTTTCAAAATTCTTCAAGCGCTGCCAAATTTGTTGTTGATCATTGCTAGACAACCATTTTCAGGTCTTGCCATATATTTTCAAGTAGATTTAAGTCAAAACTGTAACTCGGTCACGGAGGAACATTCACTGTCTTCTTGGTAAGCAACTCCAGTGTAGATTTGGTCTTGTGCTTTAGGTTATTGTCCTGCTGAAAGGTGATCTCAACTCCCAGTGTCTGGTGGAAAGCAGACTGAACCAGGTTTTCCTCTAGAATTTTTTTTCCTCTAGGACTACCCAGTCCTTAAAGATTACAGGCATACCTATTAGGGGTGTAACGATCCATCTACTACATCGATGTATCGATTTATATTCCTATGATCCAACTACATCGATCTGTGCTCGGCGAGTTGGCCTTTTGGACAACATATATCAATCTAACATCGTTTTAAAATGTAATAAATCGATTGTATCGATACTAGGAAATAACCCATTGGATTTAAGCACGTCAGACTTTATATGGATGTTTTTTCTTAGCACTTTTAATGATAAAGGCTTTAAACATTACTCGATTCAGTCTGCCTATCCGTGACGTCATCGCCCCGCGCCAGCAGCAGCGCAAAGGCGCAAAGACAACAAAACATAGCATGGCGGACGACAGAGGAGAAGCCGACGAGTGAGAAATTATCAAGCCACCATTGCGGTCCTTACAAGAAACAGGAATCTAGGAAACTTCACCTGCACTGTCCAGTATCCAGGTATTTATTTCAGTCACACTGGTTGAATTTTTGGCTAAAAGGTTACTGAATCGATTTCAAGTCACTGAATCGTTTCGGATCGTATCGTTCTAAATGAACCAATATCGTCCTTGAATCGTATCGACAACCACGAATCGTGATACAAATCGAATCGTTGTTAAAACGAATCGTTACACCCCTAATACCTATAACATGATGCAGCCACTACTATTCGTGAAAATATGGAGAGTGGTACTCAGTAATGTGTTGTATTGGATTTGTCCCAAACATAACATTTTGTATTCAGGACAAAAATCCAGGCTCTGTCGTAGCCGGCCGCGACCGGGAGACCCATGGGGCGGCGCACAATTGGCCCAACATCGTCCAGGGTAGGGGAGGAAATGGCCGGCAGGGATGTAGCTCAGTTGGTAGAGCATGGCGTTTGCAACGCCAGGGTTGTGGGTTCTTTGAAGTCTGTGGAAATGTGCAATTAATGTAGGAGAATATAACACTGTGTGTGAGTGTCGGGCGTCGGAAAGTACATAAACCCTTTGACTTATTCCAAATTTTGTTACGTTACAGCCTTATTCTAAAATGGATTAAACAAATATATAATCCTCCGCAATCTACACACAATACCCCATAATGACAAAGCGAAAACAGGTTTTTAGATATCTTACCAAATGTATTAAAAATAGAAAACAGAAATACTTTATTTACATATGTATTCATACCCTTTCCTATGAGACTCGAAATTGAGCTCAGGTGCATCCTGTTTCCATTGATCATCCTTGAGATGTTTCTACAACTTGATTGGAATCCTCCTGTGGTAAATTCAATTGATTGGACATGATTTGGAAAGGCACGCTTGTCTATGTGGTCCTCTGTAGCTCAGCTGGTAGAGCACGACGCTTGTAACGCCAAGGTAGTGGGTTTGATCCCCGGGACCACCCATACACAAAAATGTATGCACGCATGACTGTAAGTCGCTTTGGATAAAAGCGTCTGCTAAATGGCATATTATTATTATTATTATTATAAAAGGTCCCACAGTTGACAGTGCAAGTCACAGCAAAAACCAAGCCATGAGGTCGAAGGAATTGTCCGTAGAGCTCCGAGACAGGATTGTGTCGAGGCACAGATCTGGGAAAGGGTACCAAAAAATGTCTGCAGCATTGAAGGTCCCCAAGAACACAGTGGCCTCCATCATACTTAAATGGAAGAAGTTTGCCTAGAGCTGGCTGCCCGGCCAAACTGAGCAATCGGGGGAGAAGGGCCTTGGTCAGGGAGGTGACCAATAATCCGATGGTCACTCTGACAGAGTTCTAGAGCTCCTCTGTGGAGATGGGAGAACCTTCCAGAAGGACAACCATCTCTGCAGCAGTCCACCAATCAGGCCTTTATGGTAGAGTGGCCAGCCGGAAGCCACTCCTCAGTAAAAGGCACATGACAGCCCGCTTGGAGTTTGCCAAAAGGCACCTAAAGACTCTCAGACCATGAGAAAGTAGATTCTCTGGTCTGATGAAACCAAGATTGAACTCTTTGGCCTGAATGCCAAGCGTCACGTCTGGAGGAAACCTGGCACCATCCCTACGGTGAAGCATGGTGGTGGCAGCATCATGTTTTTCAGCGGCAGGGACTGGGAGACTAGTCAGGATTGAGGCAAAGATGAACAGGGCAAAGTACAGAGAGATTCTTGATGAAAACCTGCTCCAGAGCGCTCAGGACCTCAGACTGGGGTGAAGGTTCACCTTCCAACAGGACAACGACCCTAAGCACACAGCTAAGACAATGCAGGAGTGGCTTCGGGACAAGTCTCTGAATGTCCTTGAGTGGCCCAGCCAGAGCCTGGACTTGAACCCGATCTAACATCTTTGGAGAGACCTGAAAATAGCTGTGCAGCAACGCTCCCCATCCAATCTGACAGAGCTTAAGAGGATCTGTAGAGAAAAATGGGAGAAACTCCCCAAATACAGGTGTGTCAAGCTTGTAGCGTCATACCCAAGAATACTTGAGGCTGTAATTGCTTGCAAAGGTGCTTCAACAAAGTACCGAGCAAAGGGTTTGAATACTTATGTAAATGTGATATTTCCTTTTATTTTATTTTATTATAAATTAGAAAAAAAATTCTATAAACCTGTTTTTGCTTTGTCATTATGGGTTATTGTGTGTTTAATCAGTTTTAGAATAAGGCTGTAAAGTAACTAAATGTGGAAAAAGGCACTGTATATACAAAAGTATGTGGACACCCCTTCAAATGAGTGGATTTGTCTATTTCAGCCACACCCGTTGCTGACAGGTGTATAAAATCGAGCACGCAGCCATGCAATCTCGATAGACAAACATTGGCAGTAGAATGGCCTTACTGAAGAGCTCAGTGACATTCAACGTGGCACTGTCATAGGATGCCACCTTTCCAACAAGTCAGTGCGTTAAATTTCTGCCCTGCTAGAACTGCCTTGGTCAACAGTAAGTGCTGTTATTGTGAAGTGGAAACGTCTAGGAGCAATAATGGCTCAGCCGCGAACTGCCTCTGGAAGCAACGTCAGCACAAGAACTGTTTGTCGGGAGCTTCATGAAATGGGTTTCCATGGCTGAGCAGCCGCACACAAGCCTATGATCACCATGCGCAATGCCAAGCGTCGGCTGGAGTGGTGTAAAGCTCGCCACCATTGACTCCGGAGCAGTGGAAACGCATTCTCTGGAGTGAAGAATCACACTTCACCATTTGGCAGTCTGACTGACAAATCTGGGTTTGGCAGATGCCAGGAGAACGCTAACTGCCCCAATGCATAGTGCCAACTTTAAAGTTTGGTGTAGGAGGAATAATGGTCTGAGGCTGTTTTTCAATGGTTCGGGCAAGGCCCCTTAGTTCAGGTGAAATTAAATCTTAATGCTACAGCATACAATGACTTTCTAGACGATTCTGTGCTTCCAACTTTGTGGCAACAGTTTGGGGAAGGCCCTTTCCTGTTTCAGCATGACAATGCCCCGTGCACAAAGCGAGGTCCATACAGAAATGGTTTGTCGAGATTGGTGTGGAAGAACTTGACTAGCCTGCCCACAGCCCTGACCTCAACCCCATCGAACACCTTTGGGACGAATTGGAACGCCGACTGTGAGCCAGGCGTATGTAGTGTGTGTTGGAGTGTCAGTGTAAGTATGTGTGAGTGTGTGAGTAGAGTCCAGTATGTGTGCATAGAGTCAGTGCAGGAGAGTTAGTGCAAAAAAGGTTAAATGCAGGTAGTCCAGGTATTTAGCAGTCTTGTTTAGCAGACTTATGGCTTGGGGGTAGAAGCTCTTCAGGGTCCTGTTGGTTCCAGACTTGGTGCACTGGTACCACTTGCCGTGCAGTAGCAGAGTGAACAGTCTAGGGCTTGGGTGGCTGCAGACATTGAGGGAGAGGTTGTTGTCCTCGTACCACACTGCCAGGTCTCTGACCTCCTCCCTACAGGTTGCGTTATCGTCGTCTGTGATCATTCCTACCACCGTCGTGTATTCAGAAAACTTGATGATGATGTTGGAGTAGTGCGTGGCAACGTAGTTGTGGGTAAACAGGGAGTACAGGAGGGGACTAAGCACACACCCCTGAGGGGCCCCCGTGTTGAGGGTCAGCGTGGCAGATGTGTTGTTGCCTACCCTCACCACATGGGGATGGCCCGTCAGGAAGTCCAGGATCCAGTTGCAGAGGGAGGTGTTCAGTCCCAGGGTCCTTAGCTTGGTGATGAGCTTGGAGGAGATTATGATGTTGAGTGCTGAGCTGTAGTCAATGAACTGCATTCTTGCATAGGTATTCCTTTTGTCCAGATGGGTGAGGGCAGTGTAGAGTGCAATAGAGATTGTATCATCTGTGGATCTGTTGGGGCTGTATGAGAATTGGAGTGGGTCCAGGGTGTCTGGGATGATGGTGTTGATGTGAGCCATGACCAGCCTTTCAAAGCATGTCATGGCTATAGATGTGAGTGCTACATGGCAATATTCATTTAGGCAGGTTACCTTGGCGTTCTTGGGCACGGGACCTATTGTGGTCTGCTTGAAACAAGTTGGTATTACAGACCGGGTCAGGGATACGTTGAAAATGTCAGTTAATACACTTGCCAGCTGGTCAGCGAATGCTCTGAGTACGCTTCCTGGTATTCTGTCTGGCCCTGCTGCCTTGCAAATGTTAACCTGTTTAAAGGTCTTATATCAGCTGCGGAGATGCATGGTTCAGTATTCCTTGCCTCGAAGCGAGCATAGAAGGCATTTAGCTCGTCTTGTAGGCTTGCGTCGCTGGGCAGCTCGTGGCTGGGTTTCTCTTTGTAATCTGTGATAGTTTGCAAGCCCTGCCACATCCGTCGAGCGTAGTAGGATTCGATCTTAGTCCTGTATTGACACTTAGGCTCGTTTGATGGCTCGTTGGAGGTTGTAGCAGGATTTCTTATAACTTCCGGATTAGTGTCAAGCTCCTTGAAAGTGTCAGCTCTAGCCTTTAGCTCAGTGCCGATGTTGCCTGTAGTCAATGGCTTCTGGTTGGGGTATGTATGTACGGTGGGGACGACGTCGTTGATGCACTTATTAATGAAGCCGGTGACTGATGTGGTAAACTCTTCAATGTTATCGGATGAATCCCGGAACATATTCTAGTCTGTGCTAGCAAAACAGTCTTGTAGCTTAGCATCCGCTTCATCAGACCACTTCCGTATTGAGCGTGTCACTGGTACTTCCTGTTTGAGTTTTTGCTTGTAAGCAGGAGGATAGAGTTATGGTCTGATTTGCCAAAGAGGGGGAGGGAGGGCCGTGTATGCGTTTCTGCGTGTGGAGTAAAAGTGATCTTGAGTGCAGCTGCATGTGACCCGATTGTAATGCCCGTGGTAAATGTGCGGATATCCCTATGAGGCTAGTTCGGGACCATTGGTAAATTACACAATGTACATGGGATAATAAAATATTGTGTTATTTATTGACGGTCTGTAACTAGTCCCGGAGATAGGCTATCCAAAGTCAAACCAACTTTGCCACGGTCGCACACCAGCCGGCTGAAGCTAATTGCCAAAATAATTTGGCTAACTTTCCATCCTGCGAACACACATAAGAGCCACCCACATTAAACCACACCCCAAAACCAACTCATGTTTAAATTCAGTCATGGCTGCTAGCATTTCTTTATGAACCAAATCTAAAATGAGGCCAAATCAGGAAGTTCATCCGCCCTTTAACTGAATTATCACAATACACCTCTGAGGTGTGTGTGTGTATGTGTGTGTGCATTTGTGTGCACGCATGTGTGCGTGAGCACAAAACTAGAATGTTTTGTGTAACATCTGTGACTGCATGAGGAGGAAAGGAAATCAATCTTTCTGCAGTATATTTCTACTTTCTTACCGTAGTTACTGCAGTAGGGTTGTCATAGTTACTGCAGTAGAATTGTCATATAGAAATTTAGTTACTGAGGTTTTGTTCTTTCCCCTACTGCCTCTCTTATCAGTCCTCAGGTCAAACTCTCCAACCCTGTCCCTCTCTGCAGTACACTGCAATTACCCACACTGCCCCTAGATTGGTTGGCTGGGAGGCAGGTGTAGAAGGCCTCACATGGGTGGTCAGGCGGCAGTACCAATCTCTCTCTCTCTCTCTCTCTCTCTCTCTCTCTCTCTCTCTCTCTCTCTCTCTCTCTCTCTCTCTCTCTCTCTCTCTCTCTCTCTATATATATATATATATACATATATTTTTCCATCACTCTCTCTCTATATATATAAAACATTTTTTCCCATCTCTCTCTATATATATATATTTAAAAAATTACATCTCTCTCTCTATATATATATTTAAAAAATCCATCTCTCTCTCTATATATATATAAAACATTTTTTCCATCTCTCCCTATATATATATATTTTAAAAATTACATCTCTCTCTCTCTATATATATATAAAACATTTTTTCCATCTCTCTCTCTTCAGTCTTTGTTCTTTTAACGTTTTCTTTCTTTCTCTCTGTTCTGAGTTTGAGTGCTGCTAGCCTGTGTTCAGCGCAATTCCTTTCTTTGTAAGCACTTTCAGGCCCGCTATCTTCCACTACCCCCTGCGTCTCTCCCTCTCTCCAACTGCCTATTCCCCTCTCTCACTCTCACCCCCCACCACTCTCTCTCTCTCTCTTTCCCATGGTTTTGATGGGGGCAGATTTCTCTTATGTGAGGGCAGTTTGCACCAAGATGCAACTAAGTTAACATCATAAGGCAAAAACGTGAGTGTGTGTTTGGGTGTGTGTGTGTTACAACAAGGGTGTGTGACGGTAGTATTGAGAGTGAGTGAGAGAGAGAGAAAGAATGGATCATTGGAGGGATGAGGGATGGAGGGAGGGCTGCATATGGGAAGCAGAATAAATCCTGGTTTGTAGTTCCCCACAGCCTCCCATCCCTCTCTGGCATGGCTCCGATCTCTCTTGACACCTTTAAACAGACCTGCTGTCGCTCTGTCTCAGCAGCACACAGAAATGTGTAGGAGAATGTGGCATGGGTCTGTGTGTCTTTGTTTATGGCCCGGTGCGTCAATGTATTTCTGTGCTTGTGTTGGGCTGTGTGTGTGTGGTGTGTGTGTGTGTGTGTGTATGTGTGTGTTGGCCTGTCTGGTACAGATCATCCAGGTCAGTCCCTGTCTAAGTGGTGGTAGGTATGTGGCAGTAGCAGCAGTATTGATATTACATAAATCCATCTCAGCCCATCTGAGCTCTTAAAATAATTATCTGATTCTGCACATTATGAAACATTCATGGACCTACGGCAGCCAGGGCATGTCTCTGTGACAGAGAAGATGAGCTAGAGTCTGCAGTGAGACCACACACAGTCACACATGCGCATGCGCATGCGCACACACACAAACACACACACACACACACAGACCTACGGCGACATAGAATGTAAAAGCTAGAGTCTGCAGTGCAGTGCTAGACTGTGTGTGTGTGTGTGTGTGTACTGTGTATACCTGTGAGGGGTGTAAGAAGGGCTCAGGCGAGGCCAGGTTGGTCTGCACAGACAGGCTCTTCTCCAGTAGTGCCCGAGGGAAGCCCAGTCTGTCAAAGGTGCTGCGTTTCCAGTGGTAATGCCCGTGGTGCCCGTCGCTCTGCGCCAATGCCTCGTCCTCACTAAACGCCCTCACCACCGGGCCTGGCAGGGGCAGGGGCACCGCACCGTCGCTCTCGTACCCGTCTTTAGACCCACCTCCATGGGCAGAGCCCCCGGCCGAGCCCCCTCCCCCCGGGGCTGAGTCCCAACTGGTCCTCTGCTTCATCACCTGCTGGGCCTCCCATGCCAGCCTGGCCTGGTTCATCACCGCCTCCGACAGGGTCCCTGACATTGGCCCTTCCTCCCGGTCCCCCCCACCACCCCCTCCACAACTCCCCAGCTCCTGAGGCAGGGAGGGTTTCCGGGTCTTGCGTTCGCGGTTGTCCCCGGGCGCAAAACCTTCTCCTCCTGCAGACCCACAGAGGGAGAGTGAGTGGTGCTGACTGGAGCTCCAGGACATAGAGTCCTCATAGAGCAGCCTCTGGCCCCCGCCTTCGCCCCCCTCCCCGTAGTCCAGCAGCAGCCGGGGGTCCCGGATCAGACTCTGGCTGTGTTGGAGGGTGTAGGATCCCCCGTAGGAGCCCCCATATCCCCCCGTGGAGGAGGGGGTGGCCGTGGAGGTCCCGTAGCGAAGGAGCCGGTCGGATGTCTTAAAACGCGGGCTGGAGGAGGACTGTTGGAGGAAGAAGAAGAAGATTACTTTATTTTCCAATGTACAACTGATGCCAGCATCTCTCCAGTTACCGTCACACTTCCAACCACACTTTTCCCTGTCAGACATGGGATTTGAACCAGCAACACTCCAGTTGCTGGCCCATCTCTCTAACCTTTGGACTACCTACCTGTTCCACATAGACTAGCTGTTTGACATACTCCTTCCCTGCAGGGCTGTACTCCAGACTCTGCGTCTTCTCTGGACACTTCTGTCTTGTCAGCACTAGCTGACCATAGGGGGAGTGGCTCTGTTTGGGCGAGTGGTAGAGGGGCGTCCCCGAGGAGGGCTTTCCCCGGGTGGGGGACTTCCCTGAGCCGTACAGCAAGGAGGAGGAGTCAGAGCTCAGGTGGCGCATCACATCCGTGGGAGGTTCCTCGTAGATGGGCGGGGGCTGGTACTATAATAATAATAATAACAATAATAATAATAATAATACATTTTAGTGTCCTACAGTCAAGGACAAGTTCAACTTACATTAAAAAGTATATTAACATAAAAGTGCAAGTAAAGTCAAATCTTAGTGTACTTAAATCATAATGCAATTAAAATGAATCAAAAGACCAGACGAAACAGGACTGATACATACGGATAAAGGGAAAGATACAAAAAGGCAGGCAGAACAGAGTCCATCACAAGACATAAGCTAGCTGAAAGGTGTGTTTTATGAATGTGTATCTGTAACTGTGTTGCTGGAGTGTCCTACCTCCGAGGGGGGCTCCTCATAGAGGGGGGGTTCATAGGCATAGCGGGGGGAAGGGGGCTGTGAGTCAGCCGAGGAGCGCCGGTGGGTCCCTGTTCCTCCGCCCCCTAGCTCCACCCGTTTTAGGAAGGGTGACTGGTTGCGGTCAACATAGAGGATGGGAGAGCCGTCTGGGGCGCCGTCAGGGGGGGCGGAGCCTCCAGAGGATCGGCGGGCACGGGAGGCTGTGCCGGTGCCGGGTGCAGGGACTGGAGTAAGGGTGGAGGGGTCGCAGGGGGAGTAACCATTCCCCTGGTGAGAAAGGAAGCTGGGTTCTCTGTCTGTCACCTTGATCAGCATCCTCTCCTTAGTACCTGTGTTCCACCTGAATGGAGAGGTCCTGAGAGAGGGAAGGGAGGGGGAGGGAAGAGAGAGAGAGAGCGAGGGAGAGAGCGTGAAAGAGAGTAAGTTCATTATTCCATTTGGCAGTAGGGACAGAGCGATAATGAGCTGTCAGGTGTGATTCTGTTCAGTTCCTGATGTGACTGATGACAAAGATTGTTGTGTCCAAAGTAAATCCTGACAAAGTTGTAACACAGACATACACAGTGAGGCAGTTCAACACAGCATTTCAACTTTCCCATAGATGAGTTAGTGGTTGCAACAGAACAGAACACCCAGAGACAGGAGTGAAACCCCTAGCCTGGTCCCAGATCTGCTTGTGCTCTCTTCCCAACTCCTGTGGCGTGACAATGACCATGGGAGTTGGCAGGACAGCTCAAACAGATCTGGGACCAGGGTGTGAAATACAGATGAACTGGTGCTGCTGTCAGTCACACAGAAGACATGACTGCAACATCTGGACCCGCTGCTCAGGAGACTGGAAAGAAAGCTAATCATGGTGTTCTAATCAAATATTGTTGAAGTGTATTGTTATGGGTTGTTGTAATGCAATATATAATAATAATAATAATAATAATAATAATAATAATAACAATAATAACAATAATAATAATAATAATAATAATAATAATAATAATAATAATAACATGTTTTATTGTCACATTCACCAGATAGGTGCACTGAAATGTGTTGTTTACAGGGTCAGCTATAGTAGTACGGCGCCCCTGGAGCAAATTAGGGTTAAGTGCCTTGCTCAAAGAGAGTGGTGCCATTAGGCCTGAGCTGAAGCCCCGGATGTTTTTGACCCAGCACTGAACCTTTTGATGGTCTGATATGAGTTTCCATAACCACACATCACTTGTGCTATACAGTTTATTAAAAAAAAAGTTTTACTGACAAATGTTAAAGACAAAAATACTATATACTGAGCTAGGCAGTAGCAGGCACCGCAAGAAGCCCCTGGAGTGACGCGATGCCTGCTGTGATTGGTCGAGATTTCACAATGCAGTGGACCACTCACGTCCCTTGACCCCTCCCCCACCCCTACAGCACCGGCGGTTCGATGTCAATGTCATCACTCAGCAAAACGTCCGTCACTCAGTCAAGAGTCTACATCACAGTACAGAGCAAATATGGATATTCGGAACTTCTTTCGAAAGAGTGGAGAAAAAAGTGAACAGGTTGAGCAGGTTGAGGCAACAGTGAATGAGGTGGAGAGGGCAGAACAGCCAGAGAGTCAAAGTGCAGCAGCAGCAGAGTTAGCCACAGGTTTTTGCATGGTTGGTGGTAGCTAATTAGCTAGTCTCCCTCAGCATAAGGGTTGGCTAATGCTAATAAGCTAGCATTAGCGCTCAGCATCCTTAAGCTATTGGGTGTCAGTCAGAGTTAGTTAACAGTATATTTAGTGAATTGGCAAGCTAAGGATGTTGATATAAGTCATGATATTATTTACATTTTAGTCATTTAGCAGACACTCTTATCCAGAGCAACTTATAGTTAGTGAGTGCATACATTATTTTTTATAGTTTTCATACTGCCCCCCCGTGGGAATCAAACCCACAACCCTGGTGTTGCAAACACCATCCTCTACAAACTGAGCTACATCCCTGCCAGCCATTCCCTCCCCTACCCTGGACAATTGTGCGCCGCCCCATGTGTCTCCCGGGCGCGGCCGGCTACGGCAGAGCCTGGATTCGAACCAGGATCTCTAGTGGCACAGATCGCAACGCGATGACATCTACACAGTGCCCCCCTGTGGACTGAAGCTGAACTTTACTACAACATTATATTTAACCCTGTTTAAAATTAGCAATGTTGAGGTGGTAGAACTGACAAAATGACATTAATCATAGAGGTCTTATAAACTATTCCATTCTACAGGTAAACATGCTTGGCTCATGTCCGTTATTTCCATATAGGATATGTAACTATTTGTAAAAAAACGTGTCCATTGTTAAATTGGTGACATTATTTCATTGAGCTTTTATTTTTATTGCTCTTTTTATTCACTTTGCTACTTACCTTTTCTATTGTTGTTGCCTTGTCGAAAGGTTAACCTGCAAGTAAGCATTTCATTACACTTGTGTACTCCATGCACTGTATATCATGTGTATATAACATTTATACATGACAAATGAAATGAATCATTGAGGTCTTATAACTTATTCCATTCTACAGGTATTTTTTTTTGGCTCATGTCTCTTTATATTCATATATCCAAGGGGCTATGTAGCATCTTATCTGTCATTGTCACGACTCCCTCCGAAGCTGCCACCTCTCCTTGTTCGGGCAGGCTTCGGCGTTCGTCGTCACCGGCCTTCTAGCCACTGCCGCTCCTCATTTCATCATTCCATTGGTTTTGTCTTGTTCATTACACACACCTGGTTCATATCCCCTCATCAGTTCCTGTATAAGTGTTCCCTCTGCCCCCTTGTCTTTGTGTGTGATTGTTTATTGTGAGGATAGTGAAGCTCGGTGGAGCTCCTTGTATATTGTATCGGCAGGTTATTTTCCCTGTGTGCCTTGTTGGTTCTAGTGCGCCTGTTTTGCGCTCTGGACTGTTTTGAAGCATTACTGCGTAGCTCTGTTTTCCTGAATAAATCCTGTTATTCTGTGATTTCCCTCCTGCGCCTGACTCCTTCAACTCACCCATCACAGAATCACACACCCGCCATGGAGTCAGCAGGAGAGAAGCACATGCCTGGAGTAGTGGCACGGGTCCAGGAGCATTCAACAATGCTAGCCAACTTGGGAGAAGCGATGGATCGGGTTCTCCAGGTCGTCCAACGCCTGGAGAGGAGAAAACCCGATTTTTCGGGACCAGCACCCAGAGGGATCCATATATCCCTACCACGGGAATTCGACGGGACAGCTGTTCTCTGCCAGGGATTCCTCCTACAACTGGAGTTGTACTATTCGAACATCAGCCCGGCTCCATCAGAGCGGAAGAAGGTGTCCGCCCTTGTCTCCTGCCTCGCAGGGGAAGCCCTGGAGTGGGCCAATGCGGTCAGGAGTGAAGGAGGAGCCGCGTTGGACAACTACAGGGAGTTCTGGTCCACCTGAGTCAGGGGACGAGGACCGCGCAGGACTTCACCGTGGAGTTTCGGACTCTAGCGGCTGGGTCCGGGTGGAATGAGCGGGCCCTCATCGACCACTTCCAGTGCCATCTACGAGAGGACGTCCGAAGGGAGCTAGCCTGTCGGGACACCATGTTGTCCTTCAATCAACTGGTGGACATGGCCATCTGGTTGGACAACCTGCTGGCTGCTAGAGGACGTCCTGGAAGGGGCCTGCCATCCGAGCACTTGACAGTCGACCACTAGGGTCCGGGTTCGTTATGGAAGTTACAGCACCAGTCACTATGGTTACGCACAAGACCCATAGAGAGCAAGTAACCTTTTTTATAACTGAGTCTTCTGATTTCCCTGTTGTGTTAGGTCTTCGCTGGTTAGCACTACACAACCCCACCTTTTCATGGCCGCAGAGGGTTCTCACGGGGTGGTCACGAGAGTGTCAGGGTAGGTGTCTAGGTTTTTCCGTTGGTGCAACCACGGTGGAAAGTCCAGACACTACCTCCACCGTGCGCATTCCCCCCGACTATCTCGATTTGGCGCACACGTTTTCCAAAACGCAGGTGACCAAATTACCACCTCATCGGGCGGGGGATTGCGCGATAAACCTCCGGGTAGACACTGTGCCTCCCAGGAGTCATGTGTATGCCCTTTCGCAGGCTGAAATGGAGGCGATGGAGACGTACGTCTCCGAGTCCCTGCGTCAGGGGTTCATACTTCCCTCTACTTCTCCCGCCTCCTCGAGTTTCTTGTTTGTGAAGAAGAAAGACAGAGGTCTGCATTGATTACCTGTCAAGGGCTGATGAAATGTGGTGTGGGAGTCATGCGCAGGACACCGAAGCTTAGTCCAACAGTCTTTACTAGTGAAACACTAGGCAAAATACAATAACGGCCTCAACACAAAACAGAGGCGAGCGATTACGCAAACTGTGCGTAAACAACGAAAATAACAAACATAGAGAAACACGCAGCACTAACGGACAGGCGTAACAATAACACACAAACTAACCAACACAAAGCAGGCAATTTATAGGACACATAATCAGACACAAACGGACACAGGTGCAATAGACAGACAAAACCAATCTAACATCGAAACATCTAACGGTGGTAGCTAGTACTCCGGGGACGGCGAACGCCGAAGCCTGCCCGAGCAAGGAGGAGGAGCAGCCTCGGCAGAATCCGTGACAGTACCCCCCCCTTGACGCGCGGCTCCAGCCGTGCGCCGACCCCGGCCTCGGGGACGACCAGGAGGACGCAGAGCCGGGCGTGTGGGATGACCACGGTGGAACTCAGTCAGGAGAGATGGATCTAGGATATCCCTCCTAGGCACCCAGCACCGTTCCTCCGGACCGTACCCCTCCCACTCCACGAGATACTGGAGACCCCCCATCCGACGTCTCGAGTCCAAGATGGTCCTGACCGTGTACGCCGGAGCTCCCTCGATGTCCAGTGGGGGCGGAGGGGTCTCTCCTATCTCACCTTCTTGGAGTGGACCAGCTACCACCGGCCTGAGAAGAGACACATGGAACGAGGGGTTAATATTCTTATAATCAACAGGCAGTTGTAACCTGTAACACACCTCGTTCAATCTCCTCAGGACTTTAAAAGGCCCCACAAACCGCCGACCCAGCTTCCGGCAGGGCAGGCGGAGGGGCCCTGGCCAGGTATCTTTACAGGTTTCCCTTTCAGAGGGGGTTTAAATTCTTAAAACAAGGGCAAAAACCCGAAAACCCGAAATCCCTAAGGAACTTTAAAAACCCCCAAACCCCCCCCAAAAAGCCCCGGCCCAATTTAGGGGCCATTTCTCAGCGAAAAAGGGACCCCGGGGGCAAACCGGAAAAACCCCAATCTCATGGGCCTCGTTCTGCCCTGGGGGAGGCCCGCCCCCCCCCCCCGGGAGGGGAGCACCCCGGGTTCCAAACTTCCCCCCCCAAACCCCTTTTCCACCGGGGGCCTCCACGGCCCCGGGGCCAGGGGGGGAACCCCGGGGATACCCTTAAACCAGGGGAAAGGGAAAATTTTGGTAAGGGGGGCAAGATTTTCCCCTGGGGCCTCCCCCCCCTCCCGGGGGATATTAGACCCCCCTCCGCCTCCCGGCCCCAAGAGGCCTAAAAACCTTACCCCAAAGTTCCCCTTGTTGACTGGGGGGGGGGTTTCTACTGCCCATTGCTCTCTGGGTGGTAACCCGAGGTAAGGCTCACCGAGACCCCAAGCGTTCCATGAACGCCCCCCAGACTCTGGAGGGAACTGGGGACCTCGGTCAGACACTATATCCTCGGGAACCCCATAGTGCCGGAAAACGTGGGTAAATAGGGCCTCAGCGGTCTGTAGGGCAGTAGGGAGACCCGGCATTGGGAGGAGACGGACAGGCCTTGGAAAACCGATCCACAACGACCAAAATGGTGGTATTCCCCTGGGAGGGGGGAAGGTCGGTCACAAAATCCACCGAAAGGTGGGACCATGGTCGTTGTGGAACGGGGATGTAACTTTCCCCTGGGCAGGTGTCTAGGGCCTTACACTGGGCGCACACCGAGCAGGAGGAGACATAAACCCTCACATCCCTAGCTAACGTTGGCCACCAGTATTTCACGCTAAGGCAGTGCACTGTCCGGCCAATACCGGGATGTCCAGAGGAGGGTGATGTATGAGCCCAATAAATAAGGCGATCACGAACCTCGAGCGGAACGTACATCCGCCCCACAGGACACTCTGGGGGAGTAGGGTCGGTACGCAATGCCCGCTCGATCTCCGCATCGACCTCCCACACCACCGGAGCCACCAGACAAGACTCCGGCAGTATGGGAGTAGGCTCAATGGACCTCTCCTCTGTGTCATACCGCCGGTACAGGGCGTCTGCCTTACCGTTCTGGGACCCTGGGATGTATGTGATCTTAAAAACAAACCGGGTCAGGAACATGTTCCACCTAGCCTGACGAGGGTTCAATCTCCTAGCTGCCCGGATGTACTCCAGGTTACGGTGGTCAGTCAGAATGAGGAAAGGATGTTGAGCCCCCTCAAGCCAATGCCTCCACACCTTTAGGGCCTGAACCACAGCTAACAGCTCCCTGTCCCCTACGTCATAATTACGCTCCGCCGGGCTGAGCTTCTTAGAATAGAACGCACAGGGGCAGAGTTTGGGTGGCGTGCCGGACCGTTGCGACAGGACTGCCCCAATACCGGCCTCGGACGCGTCTACCTCAACTTGGAATGGTAAAGCGGGGTCCGGATGCGCCAGCACCGGAGCCGAAGTGAACAGGTTCTTCAGTTTAACAAATGCCCTGTCCGCTTCAGCTGACCACTGCAAACGCACCGGACCCCCCTTTAGCAGGGACGTAATGGGAGCTGCCACCTGTCCAAAGCCCCGGATAAACCTCCGGTAGTAATTAGCAAAACCCAAAAACTGCTGCACCTCTTTTACAGTGGTTGGAGTTTGCCAATTACGCACGGCCGACACACGGTCAACCTCTATCTTCACACCAGACGCGGACAACCGATAGCCCAAAAAGGAGATGGACTCCTGGAAAAACAAGCATTTCTCTGCCTTGACATACAAGTCATGCTCCAACAGCCTCCTCAACACTCGGCGCACCAGGGCTACATGCTCGGCTCGTGTAGAAGAGTACACGAGGATGTCGTCGATGTATACTACCACACCCTGCCCATGCATGTCCCGGAAAATCTCGTCCACAAAGGATTGGAAGACTGAAGGAGCATTCATTAACCCGTATGGCATGACGAGATACTCGTAATGACCCGAGGTGGTGCTAAATGCTGTTTTCCATTCATCCCCCTCCCTAATGCGCACCAGATTGTACGCGCTCCTGAGATCCAACTTTGTGAAGAACCGCGCTCCACGTAATGACTCCGTCATAGTCGCAATCAGAGGAAGAGGGTAACTGTACTTAACCGTGATCTGATTGAGACTACGGTAATCAATACACGGGCGCAAACCCCCGTCCTTCTTCTTCACAAAGAAGAAACTCGAGGAAACCGGGGAAGTGGAGGACCGTATGTATCCCTGTTCCAAGGACTCGGCTATGTAAGTCTCCATAGCCGCTGTCTCCTCTTGAGACAGGGGATACACACGGCTCCGCGGAAGTGCCGCTCCTGTTTGGAGATCTATCGCACAATCCCCCTGTCTATGAGGTGGCAGCCGTGTTGCCCTAGTTTTGCTGAACACAAGTGCTAAATCCTCATATTCAGGGGGAATGCGCATTGCGGGCACTTGGTTCGGACTCTCCACCGAAGTCGCCCCTAAGGAAACACCTAAACATCTCCCTACACACTGGGCAGACCACTCCATAAGAGCCCTCTGTTGCCACGCAATGGTAGGATCATGGGCGCTTAACCAGGGAAGCCCCAGCACCACGGGATACGCAGGAGAGTCGATCAGATAAAACTGAATGATCTCCTCATGACCCCCCTGCGTAGTCATCTTAAGTGGTGCTGTGACATCTGATCAACCCCGACCCCAGCGGCCGGCTGTCTAGGGCATGAACATGAAAGGGGGCTTCCACCGGCCGAAGGGGAATTCCTAACCTAGAACAAAATTCACGATCAACAAAATTCCCAGCTGCACCTGAATCTACTAGCGCCTTATGCTGGGAATGAGGTGCCACCTGTGGAAATCTCACAGGTATACACAGGTGACCAACAGAGAGCTCTGGGTAAGTGGGGCGCCTACTCACCTGAAATGACTCCCCAGTGCGTGGCCTGTTGTCCCCTCTCCCAGGAGACCCTCCCCAGCACCTAGCCGCAGTGTGCCCTCCACGGCCACAGTTGGTGCAGGGGACGGCCCCCCTCGGGTTCTCTCTCCTCCTCTCCCTAGCGCCAGCACCCCCGAGCTCCATGGGAATCGGCTCGGAGGTGCTGGAGGGCGGAATGGACGACCCCCATTCGGGACGTCCGCGGGTAGCCAGCAGGGTGTCGAGACAGATGGAAATGTCCACCAACTGGTCGAAGGATAGGTTGGTGTCCCTGCAGGCCAGTTCACGACGAACGTCCTCTCGTAGGCTACACCGATAATGGTCGATGAGGGCCCTCTCATTCCACCCCGCATCAGCCGCTAAAGTCCGGAACTCCAGGGCGAACTCCTGTGCTCTCCTCTTCCCCTGTCGGAGGAGGAACAGACGCTCGCCCGCCGCCTTCCCCTCAGGTGGATGATCGAACACAGCCCGAAAGCGGCGGGAGAACTCTGCGTAGGTGATGGTGGCGGCGTCTATTCCCCTCCATTCGGCGTTGGCCCACTCCAACGCCTTGCCGGATAGACAGGAGATGAGGGCGGAGACGCTCTCGTATCCCGAGGGCGCCGGGTGTATGGTGGCCAAGTAGAGTTCCACCTGCAGGAGGAACCCCTGACACCCGGCTGCAGTACCATCATATGCCCTCGGGAGCGAGAGCCGAATGCCACTGGGTTCCGGTGCTGGGAGAGGAGGACTGGCCGATGGTGATGGTAAGGTGTGCGACGGCGTGGGCACCTCTCCAGTAACCAAACGGTGCAGAGTGTTGGACACCTCGTTCATGGCGGCCCCAAGTTGCCGGATCATGGTGTCTTGATCGCTGATCCGATCTTCCAGCGACTTGGGTGCCGCCGCTGCTACTGCTGACTCCATTTGGTGTGTTATTCTGTCAAGGGCTGATGTAATGTGGTGTGGGAGTCAGGCGCAGGACACCGAAGCTTAGTCCAACAGTCTTTACTAGTGAAACACTAGACAAAATACAATAACGGCCTCAACACAAAACAGAGGCGAGCGATTACGCAAACTGTGCGTAAACAACGAAAACAACAAACATAGAGAAACACGCAGCACTAACGGACAGGCGTAACAATAACACACAAACTAACCAACACAAAGCAGGCAACTTATAGGACACATAATCAGACACAAACGGACACAGGTGCAATAGACAGACAAAACCAATCTAACATCGAAACATCTAACGGTGGTAGCTAGTACTCCGGGGACGGCGAACGCCGAAGCCTGCCCGAGCAAGGAGGAGGAGCAGCCTCGGCAGAATCCGTGACATTACCGAGCACTGAACAAAGGAACAATACGGTATAGTTATCCTATACCCCTCATTCCATCTGTGATCGAGTCAATGCATGGTGTGCGCTTCTTCACAAAATTAGATCTCCGGAGTGCGTACAACCTGGTGCGTGTCCGAGAAGGGGACAAGTGGAAGACAGCATTCAGCACAACCACGGGGCATTATGAATACCAGACCTTTGTGAACGAGGTTTTTCGGGACATGCTTGGTCGCGGTGTAGTGGTCTACATCGATGACATTCTGGTGTATTCCGCTACGCGCGCCAAGCACATGTCCCTGGTTCGCAAAGTGCTGGCCCGACTGTTGGATCATGACCTTTATGCCAAGGCAGAAAAGTGTCTGTTTTTCCAACAGTCCGTCTCCTTCCTCGGATACCGCATTACCACCTCAGGTATGGAGCTGGAGGGAGATCGCATTTCAGCCGTGCGTAATTGGCCGACTCCAACCACAGTTAAGGAGGTGCAGCGCTTTACTGGCTTTGCCAACTACTATCAGAGGTTTATCCTGGGCTTTGGCAAGGTCGCAGCTCCCATCACATCTCTGTTGAAGGGTGGGCCGTCCCGGCTCCGCTGGTCTGCTGAGGCTGACAGGGCCTTCAGTAACCTGAGGGTTCTGTTCACCTCATCCCCGATACTGGCCCATCCCGATCCATCACTACCGTTCGTAGTGGAGGTGCATGCGTCCGAGGTAGGGATAGGCACTGTCCTATCTCAACGCTCGGGGGCACGCCACCCAAGCTCCGCCCCTGTGCCTTCTTCTCTAAGAAGCTCAGTCTGGCGGAGCAGAACTACGACGTTGGTGATCGGGAGCTGTTGGCTGTTGTCCGAATCCAGACCGTGTGGAGGCACTGGCTCGAAGGGGCGAAGCACCCTTTCCTCGTCTGGACGGACCACCGTAACCTGGAGTACATCCGGGCAGTGAGGAGGCTGAACCCTTTGCCAGGCCAGGGGTGCCCTATTCTTCACCCGAGTTTTGTGAGGGTTGTGGTCGTGACTGCATCGCAACGTTAATGAAGGTAGGGTTTATTTCATTAATGCGACCCGATCCTAATGCCTGTGGTAAATGTGGGTTGACTTTGGATATCCCTATGAGCTAGTTAGGGACCATCGGTAAATTACACAATGTACAAGGGACAATATGTTAAAATTCAAATAGCTCCAAATTTCAATGACTTAAAAACCTCAAACCAACTTAAAATTGTAGAAATGTATAGACAAATATTGAAAGCATTTAATTAGAAAACTAAAAGATGTGCAACATGAAAATATTGTCTCATTTACATTGTGTAATTTATTGACGGCCCCTAACTAGCCCCGGAGATCATGTCGCACACCAGCTGACTGAAGCTAATTGGCTAAATAATTTGGCTAACTCTTCCCACCTGCGAACATCCACCTGTGAACACACTAGACACCCACATCAAACCACACCCCGAAACCAACTCATGTCTGAATTCAGTCAGGTTGCTAGCATTTCTTAACAAACCAAATCTAAAACGAGGCCAAATCAGGAAGTGCAGTCGCCCTTTAAAACTAACTAATGACATGTTGCACCTCTACCTTGCTACCTTTCAGATGAGCCAAGGAGGAGGACAGATGAGAACAGCAGGCCAGTGGCGAATGGTAGGGAGGAGGATGATTTAAGTGACCCAGACACGGGTCCAAAACAAGTTACGCTACCCCAGTATCCCCTTGACTGTTTTGGATTGCAAAACTAAAGAGACACACCATACAAGACACAGATACAGCAATAGAATAATAGGATATGATGGAGAGAGACACCAGAAGAACAGAACAGGCCATAACAGAAAGGATAGATAAGGAGACAGACAAGACACAGACAGCAACAGACTAGACCCAGAGAAAGTGACAGAAGAGGGCAGATGGAGAGAGAACAGAGTGGGTTGAGCACACAGTAGAGTGTATCACTTCAAGCTGCTCTATAGATTCTAATTAGTTTTATTTATTTGCACAAACTATAAGAGGTGAAACACAGACAGTGAAAAAGTAAAACATGGTTTACAAAGAGTTTCCAGGTGAGGAGGAAAAAGCCTGTGAAATTACTAGAAAAACACTTGTTTACTTTTACACTTTTTACAACCAGGGCAGGACGAGAGAGGAGGGTAGACAAGAGACAGCAACAGAAGAGGGCAGACAAGAAAGACAGCAACAGACGACACTTAAAGCTGCTCTATGGATTCTAATTACTGCACAGTGTGTGGGTGTGGGTGTGTGTGAGAGTGAGAAAGAGAGAGAGAGGGTGTTTGGGTACTGTGGGATTCTTTAATCAGTTTGGCTCATTGGACAGGTCAGAGTCTACTGTATGTCTGAAGTTGTTGAATGGTTTTTGGCAATACACTGTAGATGTATGTTCCAGAGTATAGAGTGTTCCAGAGTAGAGAGACCCACAGTAGCTACTGTAATTGAGTACTGGCAGTGTCTGCTGTGGCAGGTGGAAAGGTGCAAGTTACCTGAAAAATATCTAATCTCACAATGTTCTAATCTCTCAATGTTAATCTCAGAGTGCACCAACTTCATGCATTTAGCTGTTGAAATTCCTTCTTTTTTTTGCAGGGGGAGAATGCCCCCCAGACCCCTCTACTGGCTTGGTGCTAAGCCCCCAATGTTTTAAAATCTTAGATGCCCCTCAAGGACACATCAACACATTTTTCACCTTGAGTGTTTTTCAGTAAACAGCCAACAGCAGAGAGAAACTGTGAGAGAAATATAAATGATGAGTTTTAGGAGAAAGGGGGAGAGACAGCGAGATGGAGGAAGGGTAGGAGACAAGGCAGATAAAGAGAGATGGAGGGGAGGATAAAGGCAAAGACAGAGAGAGAGAGAGAGAGAGAGAGAGAGAGAGAGAGAGAGAGAGAGAGAGAGAGAGAGAGAGAGAGTAGGGTGTGAAATTGATTGCAGCATTGGCCACCCTTGTCTTCAATAGTTCCACGCTCTGATGCCCAAGGCCACAGCTGAATACTGGAGTGGCCAATGAGTGTGTGTGTGTGTGTTAAAGGGGGTAGGATGAAAGATTACAGGGTTGTGTGTGTTGGGCTGGACCATACTTTGCTAGGAAGCCATTTGACACACAGCCACCTCTCTTCTCTCTCTCATTTCCTCGCTCACCCTCTCCAACTCTCCTCTATCATCTCTTGATCTCCTTCCTGGCCACTCTGTCACTCCCAGTCACCTTGGCTTCTTCTCTTTCCATGTCTCCTTCTCTTCAGCTTTTTAAATCTCCACCTCTCTCTCTAGAAAGCCACTACAAAGTGAACATTGTTCTTCCTCTCCCCATCCATAAATTATTCATAGACAATCGACCTTCAAATCAATTTACACATTCTCTCCCCTCTCCTTTATCTCCCTGCTGAGGGACCAAGCGGCCTTTAGCAAGCACAAAATGACAGGTTTCCCATTGCATTTTCTATTTACACTGTGTGTGTGCGTGGCTTCCACTCCTACCTGGAGGGTTACCTGGCTGGATTTGTTGCTCTCATGTGTATTGACCAGCCACTGTAATGATTTAATTAACACAATCAATCAATGTGATCAACCAACCCATAACCAACCAACTCTTAAACTGAAGTCAAATTAAAGGGGAATTGGAGGCCAGCATCATTTGACGCACATCTGACACACAGGGGCCGCAGGTAGCCTAGCGGTTAAGAGCGTTGGGCCAATAACCGAAAGGTTGCTGGTTCGAATCTCTGAGCCGGCAAGGTGGAAAAATCGGCAGTTCTGCCCTTGAGCAAGGCAGTTAACCCTGAACAACATCTGCTCCCCGGGCACCGATGATGTTGATTAAGGCAGCCCCCCAGACACCTCTCTTATTCAGAGGGGTTAAATGTGGAAGACACATTTCGGTTGAATGCATTCAGTTGGGCAACTGACAAGGTGTCCCCTTTCCTTTCCCATATGTACACACACTAAATCAAATCAAACCGAATGCAAAAGGTGCAGACCTTACCGTAAAATGCTTACTTACAAGCCCTTAACCAACAATGCAGTGTTAAGAAAATATTTACTAAATAAACTAAAGTATATACAGTACCAGTCAAAAGTTTGGACACACCTACTCATTCAAGGGTTGTTCTTTATTTTTACTATTTTCTACATTGTAGAATAATAGTGAAGACATCAAAACTATTAAATAACACATATGGAATCATGTAGTAACCAAAAAAGTGTTAAACAAATCAAAATATATTTTATATTCAAATAGTCACCCTTTGCCTTGATGACAGCTTTGCACACTCTTGGCATTCTCTCAACCAGCTTCACCTGGAATGCTTTTCCAACAGTCTTGAAGGAGTTCCCACATATGCTGAGCACTTGTTGACTGCTTTTCCTTCACTCTGCGGTCGACTCATCCCAAACCATCTCAATTGGGTTGAGGTCGTGGGATTGTGGAGGCCAGGTCATCTGATGCAGCAATCCATCACTCTCCTTCTTGGTCAAATAGCCCTTACACAGCCTGGAGGTGTGTTGAGTCATTGTCCTGTTGAAAAACAAATGACAGTCCCACTAAGCCCAAACCAGATGGGATGGCGTATCGCTGCAGAATGCTGTGGTAGCCATGCTGGTTAAGTGTGCCTTGAATTCTAAATAAATCACAGAGAGTGTCACCAGCAAAGCACACCATAACACCTCCTCCTCCATGCTTTACGGTGGGAACTACACATGCGGAGATCATCCATTCACCCACACCATGTCTCAAAAAGACACGGCGGTTGGAACCAGAAATCTCCAATTTGGACTCCAGACCAAAGGACACATTTCCACCAGTCTAATGTCCATTGCTTGTGTTTCTTGGCCCAAGCATGTCTCTTCTTCTTATTGGTGTCCTTTAGTAGTGGTTTCTTGCAGAAATTCGATCATGAAGACCTGATTCACACAGTCCCCTCTGCACTGTTGATGTTGAGATGTGTCTGTGACTTTTTCTGTGGACCTCAAGGTCAATACCCACAATCCATCTGGGGGATGGCCAGTGTGACCGTGACAAACCAGTCTCTCTACTTAATGACCTAGAATCAACCTGCCCAACATAGAGGGGACATACTGACAGAACATTGTATTGAAATTGGGTATACGAAGTATGAAGTATGTTAATGGTGTGTGTGTACGTGTGTGTGTGTGGAGAACTGTCTTTTTCCCAGCTCTGGCAGGGACAGGAGCATTGAACACATTTAAGGAACAGGAGCAGAAAACACATTTACAGGACACTGCGACCCCGGCCAAGCGTTTCCACCAATCACAGAAGACTGCAGCAGATTACAGCTAATGAGCAAAAAACAGACTCGTTAGAGAGAGAGCGAGAACAAGATTAATTGAATGAAAGGGGGAAGAGGAGGAGAGAGGAAAACTGAAGGTGAGTGAGAGAATGAGTAGATTTGAATGAGGAGGAGAAATGGGTCAATCAATAGAGAGAGAGAGAGAGAGAGAGAGAGAGAGAGGGAAGAAAAAATGAGAGAGAGATGGGAAAAGAGAGAGTGACAGAGAACCTGCAGGATTTGTCTTTGTGGTCAGGGCATAAAATGTACTTTTTGGTCCTGTCACACCCTGGTTCTGGGACTCGTTATGTTGAGCCAGGGTGTGTGCATTCTATGTGTTTATTTCAATGTTGGTAGTTCTGTTGTGTCTATTTCTAGGTTGTTGTATGTTTGTATTGAGTGACTCCCAATCAGAGGTAACGAGTGTCAGCTGTCGGCTCGTTATCTCTGATTGGGAGCCATATTTATACTGTGTGTTTTCACCTTGGGGTTGTGGGTTTTTGTTCCGTGACGGTATGTTTAACCGTGGACTTCATGAATCGTGTTTTGTTTATATTTAGGAACTTTAATTAAATAAAGTCATGTTTATTTCACACGCTGCGCCTTGGTCTACTACTCCTTACCCAGACGATCGTGACAGGTCCACCACCCACTGTGGCAGGTAGATTAAAAAATCTACCACCAACTCATATCTTTTACCAGCAAAATATGTTTTGGTCGCTACAGGTACACCAACAAAACATAAAAAAATGGTTGATCATGCTTTGTAATATTTCTAAAACAATAAATGTATTACTAATAAGAAGTAACTAATGTGTTTTAACCAAAATATCACAAATGTTCACCTGGCCCTTTAAGGGCGGGAGGTTACCGCGGTAGCGCGACTCAAGTCAAGTTTGTGCCTGTGAGATTGAGTCTGACTAGTAGAAGCGTTGTCTTCTCTTCCCTAGCAGTTGAAACGCAAACATAGAGAAACAACCGAGCTTGTGAACCAAACAAATGTAAATAGCCAAGAAACACAAGGACAAAGTGTCACTTCAGTAGACTTTCATTTCAAGTAAATTAGACCAACTTTTTGCCTGTGCACAGCCCCCAGCCAGGCAGTGTTGCAGCGCTAGGTGGGATAGGCGATATAGGATTCGTAGTTTGTGCGATTAATTAACCAGCTATGAAACAAAACGGCAAAAATACTACTGCAGCATTTATTTTACTATAAATGTGATCATACTTGACTATTTTATTCACAAATGTGAGTGAAATGCTCACATTGTGGAGCCCTGATCACCCGCCAAAGTGACTGGTGAAATAGACATCTTACCTGCCAATGCCAAAACCTACCCGCATTTGGCAGGTGGCGGGTGTTAATATTAGGCCCTGGTTGTGGTCATGGTTCTGTATACGACTGTCACACCCTGGTTCTGGGACTCATTATAGTTGAGCCAGGGTGTGTGCAGTCTATGTGTTTATGTTCTATGTTGGGTGTCTAGGTTGTTGTTTTCTATGTTTGGTCAATGACTCCCAATCGGAGGTAACGAGTGTCAGCTGTCGGCTCGTTATCTCTGATTGGGAGCCATATTTATACTGTGTGTTTTCACCTTGGGGTTGTGGGTTTTTGTTCCAGGTTCAGTCATAGTCACTGTAGGACTTCACTATCGTCATTTGTTTCGTATTGACGTGCTTTTCTAATTAAAGTCATCATGTTCACTCGCAACGCTGCGCCTTGGTCTCCTGTTTTAGACGATCGTGACAGAAAAACCCACCATAGAAGGACCAAGCAGCGTGTCCAGGAGCAAGACAGCTGGACATGGGAGGAAGCGCCTGGTAAGGAGATCGAGAGGCTGGCGATGGCCCAGGTGGGCAAATCGTGGTCCTGGGAGGACATGCTCGGGGGCAAGGGACCTTGGGGGAAGATCAAGGCCCTGGCGAGAGAGGAGCAACGGCGTCAGCAGGGCCATCATCGTTGGAAGGACGAGAGGCAACCCCAAAAAGTTTTTTGGGGGGGGCACATGGCTTGGACGACGGGGCTAACGGAGGCAGAGAAGGGGCGAATTCAAGAGGCCACCAGGTTACGGGGGCTACTGGTTAAAGGAGGGAAAGGAGATGTAGAGGCACGGCGTGAGAGACTGAGGTGTGTATCCAGTCCGGTCCGGCCCGTTCCAGTTCCCGGGGTAGAGCCAGTGGTGTGTGTCCCCAGTACGGTCCGGCCAGGTACGGCCCCTCGCACCAAAGGGACGGTGCGCGTCTCCAGCCCGGTCCGACCTGTTCCTGCCTCTCGCACAAGGCCTACGGTGTGCGTTGCCAGCCCAGCCCGGCCTGTTCCTGCTCCACGCACAGAACCTACGGTGTGCGTCGCCAGCCCAGCCCGGCCAGTTCCTGCTCCACGTACTAAGCCTACGGTGTACGTCGCCAGCCCGACCCGGCCTGTTCCTGCCACTCGCACCAAACCTACGGTGCGCGTCGCCAGCCCGGTCCGGCCTGTTCCTGCCACCCGCACCAAGTCTACGGTGCGCGTCGCCAGCCCGACCCGGCCTGTTCCTGCCACTCGCACCAAACTGACGGTGCGCGTCGCCAGCCCGGTCCGGCCTGTTCCTGCCACCCGCACCAAGTCTACGGTGCGCGTCGCCAGCCCGACCCGGCCTGTTCCTGCCACTCGCACCAAACTGACGGTGCGCGTCGCCAGCCCGGTCCGGCCTGTTCCTGCCACCCGCACCAAGTCTACGGTGCGCGTCGCCAGCCCGACCCGGCCTGTTCCTGCCACTCGCACCAAACTGACGGTGCGCGTCGCCAGCCCGGTCCGGCCTGTTCCTTCTCCCCGCACTAGCCCTGAGATGCGTGTCCTCAGCACGGGACCACCAGTTCCGGCACCACGCACCAGGCCTATAGTGCGCCTCAGACGGCCAGAGTCTGCCGTCTGCCCAACGGGGCCTGAACTGCCTGTCTGCCCAACGCCGTCTGAACTGTCCGTCTGCCAAGCGCTGCATAAGCCGCCCGTCGGCCATGAGCCTTCAGAGCCGTCCGCCAGACCGGAGCCGCTAAAGCCTTCCGCCAGACAGGAGCCGCTAGAGCCTTCCGCCAGACAGGATCAGCCAGAGCCTTCCGCCAGACAGGATCAGCCAGAGCCTTCAGCCAGCCAGGATTTGCCATTCAGTCCGGTGCTGCTCTTTAGTCCGGTGCTGCCCCTTAGTCCGGTGCTGCCCCTTAGTCCGGTGCTGTCCCTTAGTCCGGTGCTGCCCCTTAGCCTGGTGCTGCCCCTTAGTCCGGTGCTGGCCCTTAATCTAGTGGGGTTAAGGTGGAGGGTGGTCATTTGGAGGAGGCTACGTAAGCGGGTAGTGACTATGGTGGGGTGGTGGTCTAGGCCGGAGCCAGAACCGCCACCGAGGAGGTATGCCCGCCCAGCCCTCCCCTGTTTGGGGGTTTTGAGGCGCGGTCGCAGTCCGCGCCTTTAGGGGGGGGTACTGTCACACCCTGGTTCTGGGACTCATTATTGTTGAGCCAGGGTGTGTGCAGTCTATGTGTTTATGTTCTATGTTGGGTGTCTAGGTTGTTGTTTTCTATGTTTGGTCAATGACTCCCAATCGGAGGTAACGAGTGTCAGCTGTCGGCTCGTTATCTCTGATTGGGAGCCATATTTATACTGTGTGTTTTCACCTTGGGGTTGTGGGTTTTTGTTCCAAGTTCAGTCATTGTCACTGTGGACTTCACTATCGTCATTTGTTTCGTATTGACGTGCTTTTCTAATTAAAGTCATCATGTTCACTCGCAACGCTGCGCCTTGGTCTCCTGTTTTAGACGATCGTGACAACGACCTGTCTGCCTCCTCCCTGTGGTCGAGTTAGAGTTGGGATTAGGATTGTGGTCAGGTACAGTGTTCGTGTTTAGGGTTAGTGTTCTGGTTGTGTTAAGGGTTAGGGTTATGGTCAGGGTTAGGGTTGATGTCAGTGTAGTGTGTTGTACCTGTCTGCCTGATCGCCTGTTTTGCCGATGTGTTCAGTTCCTGGTCTAGTGTTGTGGTCAAGTTAAGGTTGTGGTCATGTTAGGGTTAGTGTAGTGTATGTACTGTATTTACCTCTCTGCCTCCTCTCTATTCCCCTGTTTCTCCGATGTGGTCAGTTCCTGGTCCAGTGAAGACGATGTGCTCCCCTCTCTACTGACCGCACTGCCCCTCCCTGGGCTGTTATCAGCTGACGTCCTCCCTCCTCTGTCTACCCCCGTCCCTCCCGGGCAGGGCACATCCGTTTGCTGCTTCAACGTCTGTAGCTTGGCGAGGGGGATGATGTCACAGGCCTGTGGGCGGTGCCAGACGGTGCGCTGCGTGGAAGCGTTGTAGTAGTAGAAGCGGGAGGTGTTGGGGTCGAACAGCTCCCACCACTGGTTGTCCCCTGTCCTCTTGATACGTACCCCCTGAGGGGGGTCCCACACACACTCTCCGGTGAGGAGGTTGGCGTACATGCGTTCCCGCGTGCGCGGCTCAATGATCTCCACCCACTCCAACCTGCAGAGGGGGACAGAGGTGGGGGGGTTACAATACAACTTTATTGTCCAATGTCAATCGGAAAGGACACATTTCTGATGCTGGAGGCCAGGAGACATTGTAGAATTAAAACAGGGCCTGGACTGAATCCACTGTACTATGGTAATAAGTAACTGCTATGTAATATGGCATTATGACATCATTGACCTGCTATAGGCCTATAACAACGTAAAGCTCTTTGCAGACATGACTTTGGCATCAGTGTATGAGCCTCTCTGCAGCTGTGTTTCTCTCCTCTCCTGTGAATGCCAGCTGGGTCAGATGTGACAACAACCTGCACCATCCAGACCCCATCACGAAACACACAGACAGCTTGCTAATGGACCTGGGATGGGCACTGCCAACTGCTGCTGAGGGTGTCTGGGTGTGTGTGTGTGGGATTGTACTTCTCAAATACAATGGCACACAACCTCTCTCTCTCTCTCTCCCCTCTATCGCTCTCTCTCTCCCACCTCTATCTCTCCTCCTCTCTCCCCACCTCTATCTCTCTCTCTCTCTCCCCTCTATCGCTCCTCCTCTCCACCTCTATCTCCCTCTCCATCTCTCCCCCTCTCCTCTCTCCGCACCTCTCATCTCTCTCGCTCTCTCTCTCTGTCCTCTCTCTCCCCTCTCTATCATCCTCCTCTCTCTCTTTCTCTCCTCTCTCTCTCGCCTCTCTCTCTCTCTCTCTCTCTCTCTCTCTCTTCTCTCTCTCTCTCTCTCTCTCCCCTCTATCTATCTCTCTCTGTCAGACAGAGCATAATGTTATGAATGTATAAAGCTATGCGACAGGGCTGACCCCCCATCAGTAGACTGCCTACCCAGGGTCTCATGCTGATGTAGCTGTAGGAGTATGATGGATGAGACAGTAGATACAAATATAATTCTGAGGCTCTCTACAGCCCTCCTCATCATTAAAATACACACCACACCACACACACACCAACACACACACCACACACACACACACACACACACACACACACACACACACACACACACACACACACACACACACACACACACAACAACACACACCACACACAACACACACACACACACACACACACCACACACACACACACACACACAAACACACACACACACACACACACACACACACACACAACACACACACACACAAACACACAACACACACACACACACACACACACACACACACACACACACACACACACACACACACACACACACACTCCAGCCACTCCCTATCCCTACCATAGAGCCTGTGAGTACAGGAGAGTACAGGAGAGTGTGCGTGCCATCAGATGGCTGCTAGACTGCTCTAGTATCTCCAGTTCTCATCATCACATCACAGCATAAGTACCACTCCTCTCTGTGTTATGAGCCAAAACATCATAGCGTGTTGGACGAGCACACTCCACACAATTATACACAATACAACCCTGGTTAGGATCTGGACTTGGAGTAAAACATGTAATATTTGTATGTAACTAGTGTTATAAAAAATATATATACACTACCGTTCAAAAGGTTGGAGTCACTTAGAATTTTAATTTTTCCGAAAGAAAAGCAATTTCTTTGTCCATTAAAATAACATCAAATTGATCAGAAATACAGTGTAGACATTGTTAATGTTGTAAATGGCTATTGTAGCTGGAAATGGCTGATTTTTAATGGAATATCTACATAGGCGTACAGATGCCCATTATCAGCAACCATCAGTCCTGTGTTCCAATGGCACGTTGTGTTTGCTAATCCAAGTTTATTATTTTAAAAGGCTAATTGATAATTAGAAAACCCTTTTGCAATTATGTTAGCACAGCTGAAAACTGTTGTGCTGATTAAAGAAGCAATAAAACTGGCCTTCTTGAGACTAGTTGAGACATCCCTGACAGCTGTAGATAGTGGCATGCAGCAAGCAGGAATACAGTAGGGACATGAGAGAGAAAGAGAGAGAGAGAGAGAGAGAGAGAGAGAGAGAGAGAGAGAGAGAGAGAGAGAGAGAGAGAGAGAGAGAGAGAGAGAGAGAGAGAGAGAGAGAGAGAGAGAGAGAGAGAGAGAGAGAGAGAGAGAGAGAGAGAGAGAGAGAGAGAGGAGACAGAGCGAGAGAGAGAGAGAGAGAGAGACAGAGCGAGACCAAGTTGGATCTCTATCAGCTATTAATGCCTTTACTCAGAGGAGAAATAGCCTCTACTGGCTATGTCAGACAGAGAGAGGAGGTGAGACAGAGGAAGGAGGAGAAGAAGGAAACAAAGAGAGCGATAGAGAGAGAGAGTAGTGGTAAAGTACGCAATCTCATACCAATTTGTGCATAGTTAAACAATTCCATAGGCAGCTCACTCAATTAGTGTGTGTTTATGTATGTCATCCATCGAGTTGAAGCACAGATAGTGTAGGTGAAACAGTGGGTGGGGAGGTTTTCCCCAAACCCAGCTGATAGAACAATGGGGATCACTGCTGTATCCCCTAATTATCTGTTAATCCTGTATCCATGGCGAATCTAATGCAATCAATGCGATTACATGACCACGACCACGACAACGCTCTAATCCACTTTATAACATGGTGGGCCACGCCTAGCCAATCACAGCCTGGATAGGTCCCACCAAACCAATCACAGCCTAGATAAGCCCCGCCCAGCTAATCACAGCCTGGATAAGACACACCCAGGCAATCACAGCCTGTATAGGACACGCCCAGAGTCATCCCTCAGCCAATCACAGGCTGAATTAGTCTAGTGCTCTCTCCTCTCCTCTGTCTTTAAAGGCCAAATAGGATTCTGATCTCATACAGTATATCATCAAACACATCTGTTCTCACATCTGCCAAACAGACACACCGCTGACTCAACTGGGAATGCCTGCGTGTGTGTGTGTCTGTCTGACATGCAGACAGGTGAGAGAATATGGGCTATTAGGGCTGGGCGATATGGCCAAAATATCAAATCACAGTATAAAAAAAAGATTGGACGGTATGGCGGTATTTGACGGTATAAAAGTTCTACATATGTTTTATGAGTAGTGCGTGACCCTACGGTGGCAACACATACATTCTAAATGATTTCAATGGGTCTTTCTCCATTCTGATTGCTTTATACTGTTCAATTCAACTTCAACCCAAAATAATTTTCTCTATTTTCATACATTTCTGCATTTCCTGCACTCATTTGAGATCCTTTCTACACCGCCATGTAGGGCTGCATGATATGGGCAAACAATCTAGGCCTTATTTTTAACCAAATGTTGCAATTGCGATTTGACTTGCGATTTAGAGCAAAACACTTGGGTGGGCTGTTGGAATCATGGAAATAGAATGATTATTCTAGGCCCCTGTGTAGCTCAGTTGGTAGAGCATGGCGCTTGCAATGCCAGGGTTGTGGGTTCGATTCCCACGGGGGGCCAGTATGAAAAATGTATGCACTCACTAACTGTAAGTTGCTCTGGATAAGAGCGTCTGCAAAATGTAAAAATGGAATTCTATAGTTAGAATATAATAGTTGGCACTTTGAATACAGTGTTGTTTGACATTACAACAAATGAAAATGCCAGGGAGGAATTATTGTGACAGGGTAGGAACCTAAGTGTTTCCTAGGGGACCCTATAATCTTTGGCTACAATTAATGTTTTCTCTAAGCTACTTCATGTAGCTAACATATTCTTGCTTCGCGTATTCCTCTTTGATTTAGAAGATACTGTTGCACAAACAACATGCTGATTTAGGTCTACACCATCACTGGTATTATCAGGCTGTATAGCTAAATACGTTTGCTCTGACTCAGTAAATGTATTAGCTAGCTAGTGATTAGCATTAGCGATTAGCATTCGGGGCTAACAAGATTTAGGCCCAACTTGCTAAGAAAATACAAACTAGATGTTTGCAGATGTAAGAAACACAAACTAATAGTGCATTTAAAGAACGCTAGTGGATTTATATTAAGAAGCAAAGTGAAAACAGCGTCGTCGTCATCAACATTGACAGAGATGACTCAAGTTGCGAAGTAAACTATAAAAATGGACGTTACACACAGCGTATCACATTTAACAAACCAAACATTCAAATAACGTTATAAAAGGTCAAGTAAAAACCCAAACCGGTCCGTGGATCAATACCGGTATATTGTAAAATACGGTACACCACCCATCCCTATGGACTATGGCTCCAGAGAATGGAGAGGAGAGACTGACCACATGGCCAATCATGTTCTACTGTTGCAGATTATTCCTTCAGTGGTATGTACAGCATATGTAAGTGTGTGTGTGAGTGTGTTGTGATCCTTTTGTGAGCCCTCTAAACAGGATTTGAGGGGTACAGACAGCAGGAAATAAGGGGCTTCAGCTCCCTTCCTCTCTCTGACTGGCCCTTAAAACTGCCATCAGATAATCACATCACACACACACTGACTAAGGGAAACAGTGGGTGGGGAGGTTTTCCCCAAACCCAGCTGATAGAACAATGGGGATCACTGCTGTACACACACACACACACTGTTAAACATGCCCTCGTAAAACTGACTATCCTACCGATCCTTGACTTCGGCGACGTAATTTACAAAATAGCTTCCAACACTCAACTCAGCAAATTGGATGTAGTCTATCACAGTGCCATCCGTTTTGTCACCAAAGCCCCATATACTACCCACCATTGTGACCTGTAAGCTCTCGTTGGCTGGCCCTCACTACATATTCGTCACCAAACCCACTGGCTCCAGGTCATAAATAACTTCTAGGCAAATCCCCGCCGTATCTTAGCTCATTGGTCACCATAGCAACACCCACCCGTAGTATGCGCTCCAGCAGGTATATCTCACTGGTCATCCCCAAAGCCAACACCTCCTTTGGCCGCCATTCCTTCCAGTTCTCTGCTGCAAATGACTGGAACGAATTACAAAAATCTCTGAAGCTGGAGACACTTATCTCCCTCATTAACTTTAAGCATCAGTTGTCAGAGCAGCTTACCGATCACTGTACCTGTACACAGCCATTCTGAAATTAGCCCAC